AATCAGGATTCTTTGAAATGATTAACCCAGCGCTTACCCAAGTATTGGATAATTAATGACTTCCAGCATTTATGGGAGAGGCATAAATAGAGATGGTGTCCTTTCTTTGGAAACCTCAAATTACTTCTGGATTCTGTTATTTATGCTCTTCCTTGCCTCCGCGCCACATATTAGAAAGACCCAAATCATTTAGGGGCAGTTTTAACCATATAAACTGTGCATATTCTGACCTTTATCTGGATTGGATTGGGAATTCTGCTAGATGAGGCTACTTGCAGCAGTGATACTTATAGACAGTCATTGCAAAAATAGATTCCAAGGATCATAGATCCTTCCGCCTGTAATTATAGGTATAATTTCTGCAAAGGCACGCCTCACCTGCTAAAATAAACTATTGTAGTAGTATGGGAGTGAGGTGGGTGGGGGGCCAGGAGGGGGTACTGCTGGTTCAGTGATAGAATTCTGGGTTGATTCCAGTGCATCCAGTGCATCCTCCACTATCTGTCAGAGGAAGCTTCCATGGTGTTATGATGCTGAACAATTATAAGCAAAGTTTCAGTCCTAAGACATAATCGGAGGAAAGGCCTCATGATCTACTTCCAAACATCAGCCAATCAAAACCCTCTGGATCACAGTGGACCTGTCATGGGGAGGCACAGGACCAGGCAATATTTCTTCCCATTCCCATTACATGGAGTCACCATGAAATGCGGACCAACACAGTGGCCTCTAACAACTACAAACTATCCGACTCCCAGAATTCAATGGTTTCATATAATTGAAGGTTATCCTCAGGACTTCATACCAATAAGGAGTGGTTGTCCTCCACACAGTGGGTCCAGGCTAACGGTGTCTCTGTCATCTTCAGTGTGTAGTTTCCAGAGTTGCCCTACTCATCTCCATCTCTCCATCCCAGCCAGCTAGAAGGAGAAAGCCAAGTGGTGGAGCATTCCCAGGTTTTATAAACAAAACTCTCAAATGATACCTCTTATTTTTCTACACACATCTACAGAGTAGAACTCAGTCACATGGCCATCCTTCACAATAAGGACACTGGGAAAGGCACTCTAGCTGGGTGTCCAGCAAGAAGAAAATACATGAACAACTGGATATTTGCTTCAGAGATGTCCAGCTCAATGAGACACTGTTATTTATATTCTACTTCCACTTGTACAAAACCCATAAGACTTCCCTAAATTCGTCAGAACTTGTGTGTCTTGAGATTTAATTACGTGTGTGGCTGGGTTTGTAGAGGATTATGGCTTTTATCTTCTAAGGTATAATTGCTTCATAGATAGCTCCTCTGTTACATGAAATAAAGGAGTGGTGTACAGTTAACCAAATAGGGGAAAGAGCAGACAATTGTGAAGTGGAGAGAAAACAAGCATCTCTAGGGGATTTTTTCTTGGAAACCCAAATTCCTAGCTATACTGGATCTTCTTATAGTTCTTTGGATATTTTATAAAATGATCACATACAGGGATTTATTAAATAATAACTGATGAGCTAATTTCATAGAAACAGAATGTTTCTGTTAGAACTGAAGAGGTTTTCTGTCATTATCTCATCAACCCCTTTCTTGTCTAGATTCAGATTTTTTAGTAAAATTGTAAAGTGTAATTGCTACCAAATTAGAGTTATGTTTTCCACCATTGCTTGTCTTGGTTTACTTTCTTAGGGTTTGAACGCAGTATTCGACATCTTGGTGATAGGCAAATTAAACATTCTGGAAATTATTCAGAAGATACTACAGAAAGACAAGTCATTGGAGGTGAGTATATATTTTGTCTCCAGCCCAAACATGAAAAAATGTCAAGTACCAGCTGATTTTAAATGCCATTTTCAAAGTAGATCTTGGGATTTTGAATTCTAAAACAATGAGCTCTTTTAAGCACAATGTAAAAGTCATTCTGCCAGAATTGCTGTATATTTGTACCTGATTTGGCCACCACTATATTTGAAAACCTGCAACATCAGTGGCTTTGTGGTTTCCTTACAGCACTTGGTCGTGCTCAGGAATGGGGGTCTTCTCTTCAGAATGGCTCTCCTGACTCTGGGGGCAGCAGTCATGCTCTATGTGCGCTGGAAAATCATGGGTACAGGCCCACCGGCATTTACAGAGGTGGACAACCCGGCCTCCTTTGCTGACAGTGTGCTGGTCAGGGTGAGTTTTAGACCTCTTCCTATTTGGATCATTTTCTTTCCTCACCGAATTCCTAGAGCCTTTGGCCTTACCCTCATATCAAGTCCCGATCACCTGCCGAATCTCTGGTAAATGGGGTGTTTCCATGGTTGTTTGCTACCATTAAATTATTCTAGGATGAAATGAGGAGTTTGTGTAAATGTAATATATATGTGTGTGTTATACAACATAAGGAGCTCTGGTCACATAGTGGGTTATACATGGGACTGCTAACCACAAAGTCAGCAGTTCAAATCCACCATCCGCTGCGAAAGAGAAAGATGAGGCTTTCTGCTCCTGTAAAGATTTACTACCCTATACTGCTTTGCTATGAGTCAGAACCAACTCAACAGCACACCACCACCACCATTATACAACCTTTACCAACACAACATTTTTCAGGTGCACAATTTAGTGACATCAATTACAGTAACCACATTGTACAAACATCATCTATCAATGCCAACTTTCAATCACCATAAACAAATACCTGCTAGTTCCCAAACAATGGCTCCCCCTTTTTCCCTCCCTACTGCAAACCACAAGGTTAGCAGTTCAGACCCGCCTGCTGCTCCTTAGAAACCTTGCACAAGGTCACTATGAGTCAGAACCAACTGGACAGCACTTAACAACAACTGCTGCAGCTCCTGATGGACACTAATAAACACTGGTGTCTATACATTTACCTAGTCTCAGTTGTTGTTGTTGTTGTCAGGTGCCATCGAGTCAGAACCAACTCATGGCGACCCCATGCACAGCAGAACGAAACAATGTCCGATCCTGGGCCAACCTCACTACTGCTGCCACACTTGACGCCATCAATGATGCCACCTGGCTGATCCATCTCGTTGGGGGTCTTCCTCTTTTTCTCTGACCCTCCATCTTACCCAGCATGACATCTTTCTCCAGCAACTGTTCCCTCCTAACAATATGTTCAAAGTATGAGAGACGAAGCTGAGCCATCCTGGCCTCCAAGGAGCACTCCGGTTGCACTTTTTCCAAAACAGATCTATTGGTTCTTTTGGCAGTCCATGGCACTTTTAGTATTCTCCTCCAACACCACAATTCAAAGGCATCAATTCTTCTATGATCTTCCTTATTCACCGTCCAGCTTTCGCATCCATATGAGGTTATTTAAAATACCATGGCTTGGGTCAGGTGCACCTTAGTCCTCAAGGTGACATCTTTGCTTTCAACACTTTAAAAAGATCTTGTGCAGCAGATTGTCCTAAAGCAAAAAAAATGGAGCATAGGTTGACCAAAAATCAAATAGGAATAGCCTAGTCTGGTGGTGGTGGTGTATTTTTTTCATATTAAAATCTGAATACACTTAATGAACTTCAAACTCCAACCCTATACCCAACATAGAACTAGGCTACATTTTATTTTATATGGCATCTTTTTCTGTGCATGCTTTAAAAGTGAAATTAGGATATGTATATAGATTTTTAAAGTTGAGAATGAAATGAGTGTTTGTTTTCCTTTTGACTGACAGGCCATAAACTATAATTACTACTATGCATTGAATGCATGGTTGCTGCTGTGTCCCTGGTGGCTGTGTTTTGATTGGTCAATGGGCTGCATACCCCTCATTAAGTCAGTCAGTGACTGGAGAATGATTGCACCAGCAGCACTCTGGCTCTGCCTAATTGGCCTAATATGCCAAGCCCTGTGCTCTGAAGACAGCCACAAGAGAAGGTAAGAGCCAGTGTGGAATTCTAACTTCCACACTGGGTGAGTCTGAAACATTTTGCAAAGTCCAGCACTGATCGCGTTAATGATTTTGTGGAAGTCTTATTTAAGAAGACGTCTTTCAAATGCATATTTATGGCAACTTCCGTCCATTTGGAATCCATCTCCTAGCTTCTGCTGGTGGGGAGTGGACTTGGAGGAGGGAGGTTTGAGTGGCTGCCTCATCTTCCCGCCCTTTCTCCCCTTGAAAGTAGCATTTTGCAAACCTTTTCACTGTAGGTGGTAAAGAGTAATGTATAGTCAGAATAGAGAGTGTAATTTTGATATGCGTTGTACCCATTATTTCATAATTCTCCTTCAGAAAACCTTGGTGAATTCTGTAGTCAATCCTTCTGTTACTGTTTGGTACAAAATAAGCTGCTGCCCCCAAAAGACTATTTTTTCTTTAAAAAAAAAAAGGTGGGACGGGGATAATTAATAAATGTTTCATGAAAAAGAAGACTAAGCTGATTTTCTTTAAACATAGTATTTATGGGCTAAATTCTCAAATTAAATTAAGGTCTACGTTTATCTGCATTTTAAATTGTTTTTTTATTCTTAATGACAATAAACTTTAGACCAAATTCATATATCTACAGACAGACAGACAGACAGATAGATAGATAGATAGATAGATAGATAGATAGATAGATAGATGAAATACATTTGTTTTTGTTGTTGTTTTTAAGTACTTTTGGCCCAGGAAATACCCCCAAATTTGACTTAGCTTCTTACTTTATCCTCTTGCATTATCTGAGACATTGGAAAAAATAATTGGCTTTTAATTCCAGAAGTGTTTTGATTGTTTAGCTTTCATTTTGCTTCACTGAAAATTGTGATAATCCAACAACCAAAACTGATAAACACTTAGTTCATGCTTTATAAAGTTTAAACTAGTTAAGTATTATTATTTTTTTTGTTTTAGTTAGGGTGGGGAAGAAAACACACGTTTTTCTATGTAAACCGTCTGGTTTCACTCAAGGGACCAATATCCTAAGGACAAGTAGGAGAGTTCATAAGGCCACAGCAATGTCACTAGTCTAATTTTATTGACATGAATTGTATGACTTGTAAGCTCTATCCACATGATTGACAATCCATGCCCTGTGATGTTGTTGTTCAGTACTGCCCGGTCCTGTGCCAGCCTCAGAATTGCTGTGGTGGTCAGACCAACTGTTGTTGCTTCTGTAACAATCAAACGATAAACTTCATTGGGGTTCTTCCTGTTTTTTGCTGACTTTACGAAGCGTGGTGTCCTTCTGCAGGGACTGGTCCCTCATGTCCAAGGAACGAGAAGCACAGTCTTGCCATTCTTACTTCTAAGGAGTATTCTGATTATACTTCTTCCAAGACAGATTTGTGTATCCTTTTGGCAGTCCATTGTGCTTTCAATATTCTTTGCCAACACCATAATTCACATGCATCAATTCTTCTCCAGTCTTCCTTATTCATTGTCCACTGATGCATATGAGGTGATTCAAAATACCATGACTTTTTGGGTCAGGCCATCCTAGTTCTTAAAGTGACCTCTTTTCTCTTTAATACTTTAAAGAGACCTTATACAGCAATTTTATCTCATGTAATACATCATTTGATTTCTTGACTGCTGTTCCCATGAGTGTTATTGTGAATCCAAGCAAAATGAAATCTTTGATAACTTCAGTCTTTTCTCGGTGTATCATGATGCTATTTATGGGTCCAGTTGTGAGGATTTTTGTTTTCTTTACATTGAGATACAATCCATACTGAAAGTTGTAATCTTTTTCTTTATCAGAAAGTGTTTCAAGTCCTCTTAGCTTCCAGCAAGCAAGGTTGTGTCATAGTTTGTTAATGAGTCTTCCTCCAATCCCTATGCCACATTCTTCATATAATCCAGCTTCTTGGATTATTTGCTTGGCATATAGACTGAATAAGTATGGTGGAAAGATACAACCCAGGTGCACACCTTCCATGAATTTAGGCCATTCAGACTCCCCTAGTTCTGTTCAAATGTACAGGTCCCACATGAGGACAATATGTGCTCTGGAATACCTATACTTTATAGTGTTATCCATAATTTGTTATGACCTGTCTTTGCACAGTCAATAAGACACAAGTAAACATCTTTCTAGTATTCTCTGCTTTCAGCCAAGATTCATCTGATATTAGTAATGATATCCATTATTCTATGTTCTTGTATAAAACCAGCTTGAATTTCCGGCAGCTCCCTGTCAATGTACTGCTGCAACCATTTATTAAATTATTTTCAGGAGAATTTTACATATGTGTGATATTAGTGATATTGTTTAATGATTTCCACATTCTACTGGGTCACTTTTCTTTGCAATGTTCACAAATATAGATCGTTTGCAAACAGCTGGCCAGGTGGCTGTCTTCAAATTTTTTGGCATAGGTGAGTGAACACCCCTAGAGCTGCATCAGTTTGTGTAATCCATCAATTCCTGGAGCTTTGATTTCACCAATGCCTTCAGTGCATTGTACCATCACTTTAGTACCATCAGTTCTTGATTATATCCTACCCCTTCAAATGGTTGAATATCGACCATTTGTTTTTGGTACAGTGACTCTGTGTATCCCTTCCATTTTCTTTCGATATTTTACATAAACAATCCTTCAATAATATAATTGAGTCTTGGATTTTTCTTCAGTTCTTTCAGTTTAAGGAATGCTGAGTGTGTTCATCTCTTTTGATTTTCAGACTCCATGTCGTGGCTTTGCACTTATCAGAAAGACTTTTTTTAAAATTTGTGATTGTTGTTGTTGTGAAGTGCTGTCGCGTCGATTCTGACCCACAGTGACCCTGTATAGGGTTTCTGAGGCATAGCTGGTGAGCTTGAACCGCCAACCTTGCAGTTCAAATGTCTATGCAGTCTGGCGCATTAAGCCACAGCGCCACACCAGGACTCCTGGTCTTTGCATTTTTCATTTTAATACTTTACTTTATCTAAGTGCTGTGTCCCCTCTACTCATGCTTGTTTGTTTGTTGCTCATGTTACCTTTTCTCAATTAGGGCATGGGAAAAGAAAGGTGGGTTTTGTTTTTTTTTAATTAATTTAATGTTGAATAGGACGTTGTGTCTTGAAAAGTCTAAGAATAGCTATTTAAAATGTTTTTCATTTTCCAGGATCCTTACCCTGGGCCTGGGATTTCTTGTTATTCCTTTTCTTCCTGCGAGTAACCTGTTCTTTCGAGTGGGGTTTGTGGTTGCAGAGAGAGTCCTCTACCTCCCCAGCATTGGATATTGCATGCTGCTAACATTCGGATTTGGAACTCTGAGCAAACATACTAAGAGAAAGGTAATATCCCAAGAGTGGTGCCATTTAAAGTGGTGCAAATGGCTACTAATGGAAAGGTTGAAGATTTGAATCCACCCAGAGACCTTGAAAAGGAAAGGCCTCGTGATTTACTTCTAAAAACGAAGCTATTGAGAGACCTGCAGAGCACAGTTCTACTCTGACTCACCTGAAGTCAGCATGAATCAGAATTTACTTGACAGCGACTGATTTCGTTTGGTTTTTATAATTTTACTTTTTAGTTTGAGGCTATATTTGACCAAAATTACTGGACAGATTTTTAACTAATAATATCTACCATGTCTCTCTATTTTTAAGAAACTAATTGCTGCTTTCATACTTGGAATTGTATTCATAAACATGCTGAGATGCATGGTTCGTAGCAGCGAGTGGCGGAGTGAAGAACAGCTCTTTCGAAGTGCCCTGTCTGTGTGTCCTCTCAATGCTAAGGTACACTGATGGCCATATTTCTTTTATAAAGACTACTAGGTAATGTTTTAAGTCCAATATCTAAATGTCTATTTTCACACAGAATCTAGAAGAAGACTATGACCAAATATTTTGTTTTTTGCTTTTTATGATTTTAAGATTCATTAAAGTTCCACTTTGTCAAAGTGATTCAAAAGAAATAATTAGATCAGACATTGTCAGTGAAACAGGAAATAACTTAAGCAATATCTTATTCATGTTCCAGTTGAAGTGGTGTCATGGAAGGTCTCTGCTGAAACAGTCTGATAGAAATGTGTTTCATTTGGATCCTTGTTTAATCCAAGTTCTTCATTTAACTAGCTTTGTATCTGGTAAAACGAAACTTTTTAAGACTTCTGGTGCCTTTATCGATAAACTGGAGATCATTCTGATCTCCTGGATTTGCTGTGAGGGTTTAATAAAACACTGCATGTAAAGTGCCCTAACATGGTGTTTTAGCACATAGTTGCTTGAGAAATGTGCACCTTCTTCAGCACATTTTAGTGCTGGTTGTCACCTTAAATGGCAAGTTTTGGTTATTTGCCATTTAGTCTGCTCCTGAGCAAGTCGATCTTCTGTATAGTGAAACAAAACATCCAGTCTGTGCTTTCTGCAGGATTGCTAAATGACAAGAAGGGAATGCTGTTTGCTCAAAACTAGGGAGAAGTATAAATTATTCTTACAAAATAATGATGCATTCTCTCTTAGGTTACCAAAATTGGAGCTGCCTACAATGGTGGACTCCTGGTGTGGCCCTGTAGGATCAACACTGGACTGTGAACCACAAGGTTGGCAGTTCAGACCAACCAACTGCCCCTTGAAAGCCCTGTTCAGGTTCACTATGAGTCAGAACTGACTGGAGACTATTTAACAAGAACAATGGTGGTTATATCTGATCTTCTGGGAAATTTTTAAAGAACTCTTTTTCTGGTGCATTGGAGATCACCCTGTGTCTTGGAATCAATCTCATCCCATCTCCACTTTGTTTGTTTAATCTCTTATATCTCAAAAGCATTTGATCCCCTCCCTAATTACATCGTACACTAATCTTGCCTCATTAACATAACAAAGACAACCCATTCTCAAATGGGATTATAACCATAGTCATTGTTGTTGGTTTGTGCACTCTAGTCAGTTCCAACTCATAGTGACCTTGTATAGGGTTTCTGAGGAGTGGCTGGTGAGCTTGACTCACTGAGCTTGCAGTCCAGCACATTAACCTGCAACGCCACACCAGGACTCCAACCATAGGCATAGAAGTTAGGATTTGCAATACATATTTTGGAGGAACAAAATTCAATTCATAACAGATTCTGTCTCTTTTTGACATCCTATAAATAAAGAAAATCAGCTGTTTCAGGTGAAATTGAGTAATTCTAGTAAACACCTGATGGCTTTTTGTCGCTCTGAAGTAAAGAGTAGTATTGAATCCAGGCTTGTCTTTTTCTTGGATTTAAAAGTCTTATT